TGATGTGCTTATGCCATAGCATGATAAGGAAACATTCTCCATTAGAACTGAAGTAAGTTTTATAAATAGTAGTCACTAAAAATAACTTGGATAAGTTGTATGGGAGTTTTAAAACAGCTGGAAAGGACAGGAAAGGGAGAAACTGGAAAGGGACTTTAAGAACTCTTGAAATACTTACATTCTGGGAATATGCTAGACGAGTACTTTCTAAGGGTGGTGGAATTATAGCCCGGGCCATCTAACATGGAACTTAGTGAAAAAACATAACTGGTATATAGCTTATATGAAATTTAATTAATGCCTGACAATGCCAGCTTCTGAAATAATAATCTCAGATCTATGCACAAATACTTGTTCAAGAAGGTTCATTTTGGCTGATGAAGAAAAAAAAAATGCTGGTCTGATGCCATTTACTTACTGCTGCAAGGTATTTTTTTTAAGAAACCTGAGTGAATCAAAATTAATTTGTATATCTATTTAATGATTAATTGATTGGCCTCGAAAGTGAAGTGTGAATGGGAAATACTAAGCGAATTTCTGTTTTGGTCCCATAGGAACTATGGTTTGGCCATGTGCTGTATAATGTTTGCAGTGATTACCAAAACCAAAGAAAATCACTGGTACCAGTGGCAGGTAACAAAGACTGGGGCAGTGGGATCTCCCAGAGGGGACAGCTCACTGGCACTGAGCACGCTGATTTCTTGGTAAACTGGGTGCAAGCAAATGTAGGAACTCATACATCAAAGAATAAAGTGCAGGTGTTGATGCTGCAGCAGAGGAACCTGGGAGAGAAAACAGTGGAAAGCAGAGCTGCTGGGAATCTGCCAGGTAGCCAGCTCAGGGCGAGCCCTGTTGCAACACCTCAGCAGGGCACAAACTCAGTCTGTCAGTGGGAAAACAACAGAATGAGGGCACTGAGGGTGTCACAGGCAGGCTGGAAGAGCAGAACAATGTGTCCTGTTTGATGCCTCCACATCCCACTCAAGATGCATATAGATAAATTGGACAGTTCAGGGAAAGGTCACAGGAATGATTATTTAGCTATTTAATTTATCATAACAAATAGGGGACTTGATCATAGCATTTCTTTAATTTATTTTTCTCAGCAGATGGAAATATGCATTTTCAAACTTTTAAGTGGCATGATCTTCTTTCTTCCCTCCCATGTTCTATTCTTCTTGGTGTCCTCAAAATGACATAAAATGTTCATTCTGGGACTTACCGCAATCTAGATCCAGAAATCAGATTTTTCTTCGTTGATTTTTCACTACTTTTCAATCAGTGATATACTTCACTTAAGTAACATGTTCAGGTACCAGTAGAAAAGAGAGAAAGGTCTGTCAGAGTAGAAAAGAAAAAATGGTGTATCAGAGCAGAAAAGAAAGGTGGGGGAAACATCAGGTAAAAAAAAACAACAGTTAATCCTGTAGCAAAAGGGATTGGAAAGGGATTTCTCATAAAAATTAAAATATCATTTGGCAATCTTGGATTAATTTATACCACACTAAATGCAATATGGGGCTGCAAGTAAGTTCCAAATTTACATTAAAATGCATACCATTTCTGGATCAGAAGCATGTAATTCAGCATGTTCTATTAAAAAGGCTGCGCATAATTGGTTTACTTGCAGAATCTAGAGATTCGAGCTGTATATCAGCCTGTATAAGCACATTAATCCAAGGATGTTCTGATTTAATAAAGACATCTAGCAGAGCAGCAACTGGTGTGACAGATCCAGCCACTAGTGCTTGAACAGGCACTAGACAAAAAAAAAAGTTTATAAAATACTGGGGTATTCTGAAGTGATTTTTGAAAACACAGAACCTAATTATGGTTTGACTGAAGGCTATGGGTGTTGTGTAATTGGTTTAACAAGAAGAATAGAACACCACATCCCAGCTGATCCCTGAAAATACTGATTCATCTTAGTGCAGCTTCATGTAGCTTTTGGAGGAAACAAGAAGAATGAGAATGGAATCTGCCCAATGGTATAGGATCCATACAAAGTTTTCAAGATGAATTTTCAGAAATGTTATCATTTTGATAGCAAAATTTTGTTCTTTCTATTGTATCTTCTTGCCCTCCACAAAAGGTAGGAAATAACAAAAGTGATCCTTGTGCCTCACCCAGTACCCTAAAGAGCTGCCTGCACCTTCAGGAGTGGCAGTGCCCTGGAGCTCAAATGAACTCCCATTCCTCTGAGCATTTTTACATCCTGTCTTATTTTCTAAGGCGGTAAGGCCACTTCACTCCCACCTGCACTCTTGATCAGACACTTCCCCAACAAAGAGCTCACCTTCGAACAGCTCCCTTTGTGGTACCTGCACAACAAATAGCCAAGCTTTTGTGCCCCTTTGGCTCATTTCTGCTTAATCCTTCACTGCCAATGTTCTTCAGATCCTTTGAGACGCTTCCACCTGAGACCCTGCTTCAAAAAGGGGCTTCTGACAGCAAACTCATAATACATTGCTTCTAGAAGGAGATACTGTAGTGTTAGATCCAAAAATATCCTTTCCAGATAGATTTCACACCTTCAGTCTGATAGATTTCCTAATGGCTGTATTTGTTCTGAGGTGGTAATTTCTGCAACACAGAATTCGATTTTGTGCAACAAAACAACATTTTGAACAATAATGAAGATGTGCATAATAATAATAATGCCTAATTTTATAGCAGGACAGGTTTTTCTGTTATTTTATTTTCTCTTAGCATTATCTAACTGAGCAAAATGCCTGGAAGCCTACAGTAAAAAAAAAAAAAAAAAAAACCAAACAAAAAAAAACAAACAAGGAGGAAAGGAGGACAAGATTTTACACAAATATATTTCACATTCCTGAGGAAGATGCTATGGAAAGCATATGAAAGGAAATATTTTTCTCTTGCCAAACTAGGACATTGGATGAGATACTAATTTACCCATAAATGTTGAGTATATAAAAATATATATTCCAAAAGCCTATAAATTGAATTTATCCAAGACAATGATAATACAGATTAATTTTTTTTGTATCAAGAAACAAATAAAAAAAATGACACCCACAAAATGCCAAAACCACAGCTCCCAGTTCCTAAATATAATGCCATCTTCTGTTAGCCCTCCTTAGCAAAGACCCTATTTTAAGAAAATATCTATTTAATTTAATTCCATCTTCCTTTTGTCAACCTTCATTTAAGGTAATTTAAAAGCAATTATGTCTCATATCTTTTTATTAGGACATTGGAGCCTACTCATTTTACTCAAAGATTAAGGCAATGTGCTTTTCGATGAATTTACATTTGGATGGATTAAAATTTTAGCAAAAGAAAGTAGGGTTAAAATCACATCCAGATTTTATGGGAGGATGAGAGAAACTGCAGAATGCTGATTAAACTCTTCAGCGAAGACCAAAGTCTTACTTGAACATATGGGAAGTGTCAATTCAGTGACTCCAGCTTCTCTAAGTAGACACCACTGGATTAATAGAAACTGGAGCTGGAAAGTCTCTTAAGCCAAACTGCAGAGACGCTTCAGCTGTGGTTTTCCAGTAGCTTTGCACTGAAACGTGTTTGCCCAGAGAGCTGTGTGTGCCCCAATCCCCTAGTGTCCAAGGCCAGGTTGGATGGGGCCCTGAGCAACCTGATCTTTCGAGTGGCATCCCTGTCCATGGCAGGGGGTCAGAACTTAAAGCCCCTTCCAACACAGACCATTCTATGATTCTATGGGCCATCCATCAGTCAGTTGCTGTGAAGGGACGTTAGTTGCTGCCCTTTATGTGGTAGCTGCTGGGAATATTTGGTTGACTTGGAAAACCAAACAGTCCAATTTGTCATTAGAGGATCATGGGACAGCCTTCTGGGCAGAATTTAGCAGTTCATGGAATGAACAAGGACTGGAAGCTTCTCTGGGAGAAAAAAAAATCTGCATAAAAAGCTGGAGGCTGAGCTGAGGAAAATGAGGGCAGTTCAATTACAGAAACAGCAAAACAAGGAACATGGCTGCAGCTGAGAGGGAGAAGCTTGTCAAACTGATATTGATCCACAAATCATATACAACGGGGAGAAGCTTCTTAAAAGACACCTGAGAAGACCTATCCATTTTCCTATCTGCCTGAAAAATAGGGATGTACATAGAGAAAGTAGTCATTCAGTGTTGTTTATAAGCTTGCAGTTATGTAACCTATTTGTGTTAGGGCGTGCTTCAGCACAACTACAAGGATATTCTGTTAGAAAAGATAATAAAGGTAAAAACTATTTGGAAAATCAGATTTGATATGGAACACTTCAGCAACCAAAATACTCTACTGTGACTTCCAGTGTGCCACAGAGTTACCACAGAAGCTACCCCCTACTTAACACTTCCCAGAGTACATCCAGAATAATGCACCTGGTTTTGGGCTCCCCAGTACAAGAGAGCTGTTAACAAACGAGTGAATTTGATCCCTGTATGGGTCATTCACTTACAAGTTGGATTCGATGTATTTCTGTGATTCTAAGTTGAGCGGGCAGCCACAAAGATGGTTAAGGGATGGAGAGCACTTATTCTTGAAGATGAGCAGAGGGAATTTGGCTTGTTCAGCCTTGTGGCAGGCTTAGAGGTACATAATAGCAACTCTCCAAGGCTGGACAGGAGACCATCATGAAAATGGAGCCGGGCTCTTCACAATGATGGGCAAGGAACAAAATGAGACATGGAATGTCGGAACTGGATAGGAGAAAGCCCTTCTTCATGTCGAGGCCAGACAAGCATGGGTTGCCCAGGAAGGCTCTGCAGTTGCCACCCTTGGAAGGTTTTGCAAGATGAGACTGAATAAAGCCCTGGGCAACCTGGTCTGACCTCAAGAGCTGCCCTTGCCTTGAGCAGAAGGCTAGACCAGAGATCATTTCAGATCTCTTCCTGTGACTCGCCGACAGATGCTCATGATTGATCGTAGTTCGTGGCTTTTTGCCAGCCCAAAGTGTATGAAACGTCTCGCTCCTCAAGACGCCCGAACACCGTGCCAAGGGCAGGGACCGCGTTACAGCGGGAGGTTTCCAGCACCCCTGCGCTAGCCCGGTGCCCAGCCCTCCCCGCGCAGCCGGGGGAGCGGGTCCGCTCGCTGCCGGGGCAGCCTGCCCGCGGCTCGGCGCCAGGCACAGCCCCTCACCGCCTCCGCTCGGCGCCTCACCGCAGGCACCCCCCGAAACTTTCCCCGGCAGCCTGCGCACGCTCTCGCTCCCCGCCGGGGGAAAGCGCGCTCTCTCTCGCTCCCTCCGAGCAGCGGGCACGGGGAGGCGGGCGGCTGCCTCCCTCCTGCCTCCCTCCTGCCTCCCTCCGCCCGCGGAAGCCTCGCCGAGGCTCCCGCATTGCACCGCCGCGCCGAGCCGAGCGCGGGGCTCGGGCTGCCCACCCGCCCCGCCGGCGCCCCCGGCCCCGGCTGGCGGAATGAGCGCCGGCGAGGCGAAGGAGTATCTGGCCCGCAGGGAGATCCCGCAGCTTTTCGAGGTAGGCGAGGCGCAGGGGGGAGGCGTTTTCCGCCCCGTCGGGGGATGCTCCGCGCTGGGACCCCGCGGCGGGCAGGGCTGAAGGTGGCTGGAAGGACGGAGCGGGCGGAGGCTGCGGGGAGCGGCGGCGCGGGGCGCCGGGCGGCAGCCGGGCCGGGGCAGCGCTGCCCGCCGCCCCCGCGGAGCCCCGCGGCCGCGCCCCTCCGCCCGCCGCCGCCGCGGAGCGAACTTGGGCGTCCGCAGGGCAAAGGAGCGCCCAGGAATGCGGGCGAGGGGCGGCTTTCATCGGTCGGGGGGAACAAAAGAGCCGCAAATGTTTAGTGAGGTGTTGTTTAGCTTCCCACAAGTTACCTGCTGCTAATGGCTGATAATTACTTCTCTGTGCAATGTGGATTTACCCCCCCGCCGGATCAGACAAGCTGTCATCTGTACATAACATACACACATATGTATTTTCCCTTGTCTGTGCTGAAGCTAGACGTTTTTCTATATATTTGAAAATTGCAGGACACGGCGAATGTGAATGGTTTAACAACAGATGCAGACAAAACTGGTTTTCTGTTGAGGCTCAAAGCTTGAGCTAGTGATTTAAAAAAATTGGTGCTTAAATTCTGCAAAAATACACTGTTAGTTGCTGTGATCAGTTAAGTGCTATAGTAAGGTCACAGATACATTGAAATTATATCCTATTTTATAAGCTCAAATGTGTGTAAATACCAGTTACTGTATAAACTATAGATAACAACTGATCAAATCCTGAATTGGAGCTATTTATGTTTACTGTTAATACCAACTATGACCCTCAAGTTTATTCACACAAAAATTAGGAGAAGCAAAACGAACAGAAATCATCCTGAAAGACATATATTGTTTAGGGAAGGTTGGATGCAGCAGGCTCGTGGAGAGGTGAGATGATGACTTATGTATCACTTTGTCAAGGAAATGTGTCAGAAGAGGGCCTGGCAGTCTTTCTTTCACACGCCCCACAATGCTCATGAGTACGATGAGTGAAGAATTAATTCTGTAGAAAGGGAGTTTCTAATGGCTTGAAATCTGTGATCAATTAAATCAGAAAGCACCTATGAATTTTGGGATTGTGGGGTATTTTTCCTGATACTGATCAAGGTGATATTTGATTATTTCTCGTGATTTTTTAAAATCCTCTTTTCATTGCTTGTGTAAGTGTTGACAAGAATATGGATGAGACACTTGTGGGTGCAGTGGTCTTTAAGGAAAAGATACATTTTAATGATGTCAAAGAGTACAAAGGATATGTAAATTTTGGGGCTCTCTAGCTTGCACATTGCTCTGTGTATACTTGCCAGTGACAGTTCTAGAGAAAAATGTAGAGGGATTTTTTGGTATTTTTGGGTTTTATTTTAGTGCAAACAGACACTGTAAAAATATAGCCACGAGCTTCCTTTCCAAGTAATTTTTATGACATTGGCAAACCAAAATAATTTGATTTTTTGTGGGCCTCACTTTTACACATTGGATTGCAATAGAGAGTCTGAATATCAAGGGATGTGGTGTTTCTGTGTGCAAAGTAAAAGACAAAGTAAAGGTGCTTGTTTTTCCCTGGCATCTATCATTATAGTCTCTGTTTCTGATCTTACATTTCAGAGTCTGTTGAATGGATTAATGTGTTACAAACCTGATGACCCAATTGAATATTTGGAAAGCTGTTTGCAGAAGGTAAAAGAGCTTGGAGGGCCAGAAAAAGTGAAATGGGACACTTTTGTCAGCCCAGAAAAGAAGACCCTGCCTCCACTCAATGGAGGACAATCCCGGAGGTCTTTTTTCAGGAATGGTAATGTATTAAAATTTAAAATTATTCTATTTCTTCAACTGTGTGTGGTGTTACATCCACTACTGAATTATTTTATACTTTATAGCAGATTATGCCTCATTCTGATTATCTGCAGGCAAAGGAGTCAAGAATTCTGTTCCCTTGCTTTTTGGCACTTGTTTTTCTCCTGCTGTAATGGATGCTAGGCAGGAGAGGAAATTGTGATCACTTTCCAGCAAAACAATGGATGTTTGCTGAGTAAATGTTTAATGTATCAGTGGAGGGATTTCTTGTATCCTACCTAAAACATTTGCAAAGATGGGGCAGATATGACACAGTGAACTTGCCTTGTGTTTTCAGTTGGTCCTTATGGATGACATACGCACCAACTTCAGTGCAGTTACATTATGTGTTTTTTCTAGTTTACATTGGAGCTATATGCTAATTTACTAAATAAAATATAAATTATAAATGCTTAGAAAAAAGTGCATCTCATAAAATCTAAGCAGATGTCATACCAATACCTGTAATTATTTTATTTGTAATGTTAACAAAGAGTAATTAGCTCGTCTTTCAGTTGCCATAGTTATTTTTCCTTGCCATCCAACATTTCATGAAGATAATAAGCAAGAATACTGTCTCTATCTCTGTGTGAAACATGTATCACTAAAAGAGTCCTGCTTAATAGTAGAGGTTATCTGCACAATATAAAGCTTTTCTTCTCAGAGGCCCCCACTGAACTCTGGGTGCTACAGGCACCATGTTCACAGAAAACCTGATGTGCTTGAAAAAGAAACACCAGAGAAAACTGACTCTGTGAGGTTGTGATTTAATAAATCTGTTAAATAGAGGCCAAAAAGATTTAATATAGCAACAGCAAGCACAATGTAAAATTATGAGATATTTATACTTTATGTATGACAATTATTTAAATCTGTGCACAGAACAGATTTTGAGTTTTCTGCCTATTTCCACAATTCCCAGTTTATCTTACTGTTTTACAGTGATGCCTGATAACTCTAACTTCCCCTACCGGCGCTACGACCGCCTCCCTCCGATCCAACAGTTTTCCATAGAAAGCGACACCGACCTTTCTGAAACTGCTGAGCTAATTGAGGAGTACGATGTGTTTGACCCTGCAAGACCTCGGCCAAAAATTATCCTTGTCATAGGTATGAGGGCAGTCATTTTGACAAGATTTTATCACTGCTGCTTTGCCTTTTGCTTTGTTCTGCAAATACACTGAATGCTTATATGAGTTTAAATACATTTTTTTCCATCTGCCAGAGCGAGTGGTGTAGGCCAATTAAGAGTGTGAAATTGTTAATGCTGGACATGGCATTCCAACTGTAAGAATTTTAGGGGTCGCAGCAAGCACCTGCACTCGTGTTCTATAAACGGGATGCCTCTTAGCAGCTGGAGAGCTCATGATTTTCTTATGAGCACATCTGCCAGTTTGGTTTCATCTTATGTAAACCTGGTTCATGCATTTCAAGGCAGCAGGATCATGTGAATCAAAGTGATCTTCCAAAGCAAGCTTAGGACTGAACTAAAACACTCAGATATACTCAAAGCTGATCACAAAAATGGGGTATTTTAAAATATTGTGTAATGTAGCTCAAAAAGGTGATATAGCACTGTTGTCCTCTATACTTAGACCCTTGTCAAATGATTGGTATGTCCAGTTGAAGTGAGAATACATTGTTCATTGCATTGGTAAATTAATCCTCCATTTGGCGAATGAATCCTGTTCCAACTTCGCAGAGAGTGTGCACTCAGTTCACATTAGTTAATTGTGCTCTCTCCCAAAGTTCTCTCTTGTGAGTTGCTTAGTGTTCTTGCTAAGCAACTCATACTTTCCAGCCTCAGACAAGCATAGGTTATTAAAAACTAGCTGCAGTGTAAATCAATTTTTTTTTCTGTTCTTGAATTTAAGTTCTTTGCATCAGTTTCCTTATAAGCTAGGTAGTTGTATTTAGAAATGTTATCACCAGGCCTAATTAATTTGATTCTCTGGATCACTTAAAGAGTTACAGCACAGGTGCCAGGCGATGCAGAATTACCTTTTTAGTGTATGAAGCTTTATTCATATTAAAGACAGATACTGCTTCCATAACAGAGAATATGTGTAGTACAATAAAAGGGAACAGAAATGTCTTCTCTGTACTACAGAATGGAAACTCTAGGAACAGCATGTCCTCTAGGCTCGGCATTCAGCAGCTCTCAGAAACGAGATACTGGAATAGATTGAAAACAGAAGACCAGGCATTTTTTTAAGTATCTGTGGTATGCCAAAGCAATTGCTCAAGGCATTTGAATTTTCTTAATCTTTTGTTTCAGAATTACAGATTTCAACATGCAAATCTCTCTATGTATTGCTGAAATGTGAAGATTGCAATTAGATGGAGAAATAACCCATACCTTCCTTTCATCTTAATTAATTAGCTACCCTTCCTTTTCATAAAGGAGAATAACTGGCTCCTTTTCAGTGACCACAGAAGGCCCTTAATGCATTGAAATCTATGTAGCTCAATTGCAGTAGAGTGATGAATGAAGGTTTGATTTAAGTGAGATAAAGAGAGATTGGCTTTCACCTCTGCAACTGAGTGCGGGTGTATTTGAAGTGAAATCCTTGAACACCAGCATGCAGTGAACAGACTGGATTTTACAGAGCTTTTCTTTTCTCCCATTTATATAGGGAATGTTGTAAACATTCCACAAAGGCTATTTCAGGTTTATATTCCCACTGAGTTTCTCTGAATCTATTACAGTATGATCTGATAGAAACACAATACTCTATGTAGCTTAGCAGCTATTGTCCATTTTTGTACAGTATAAAGACAATTTCTCCCAAATTCAACTTTCTATTGAGAAAGCACGTAAAAACACATGTTGGAAAAAGTAACTGAATAAAAGAGAAAAAAAAAGTATACTGTTCATTTCAAGAGATATTGCACACAAAAAATGTGTTACGTATTTTCAGTTTGCATATAATGACAACAAAAGAAATCACTGAAGTAATGTATTACTGTCTAATTAGAGATAAATAATCATCCTGCCTTGGTCAGGTGGTGCTGGTCCCAGTCACTGTTAGGGATAGAAATGAAGCTAAAATCCTGTCTTCCACTTTGCATATTCAGTGAACTTTTCTTTATTAATGCATTAGCCCAAGATCTTTTTAATGCTTCCATAAAGGTTTTTACAACTTCTTTGCTTTATGAAATCTATCATCCTTATAATGAACCAGGTAGCTCCAGTGCTGAAGAGAACTCACTTATAAAGGTGGGGGCTTTGTTCTTTTTCTGGGTTTGCAGAAGAAAACTCTGGTGAAAGATAAAGCTATAAAGCTGCATAGTGAGTGGATTTTAGAAAAATCAGATGGAACCAGCCAGGAGGGCACTCATCTGAATCAATGGAAAAATTAAGTTTCTAAGGTATTATAACACTAGTAAATGAGATTGTGTTTAAAAATGTTCTTCCTAATATACTTTTAAGAAACAAATTTGTACTGTTAATATAGCTTGAATTTAGAGATCTTAAAATATTAATTATCTGGTGTCATTAGCACCTTAGTTGAGTATGTTTTTAAGCTGCACTTTCTTCAATATATTACTTAATATTAAAAGAATATACCTTCCTTTTGAGATCAAAGTGTAAGGGCTAGATCAAATAAAGTGCTGTCAGCAGGCAGCTGCCTATTGATTTGTTAAATCTAGTCCACAGTCAGATTTTAAAGTAAGAAGTATTTTCAGAAATTTTATTATTAGTTGAATTAATTCTGAATTTACAACAATATATGCAAAATTAAAATAATGAACAAAATTAAATTCCAACAACTGCTTTAATAACACTTTTTGGGTGTACAATCTTTACTTGAACCTGTTAGGAAACATAATTTTAGATGCAACAAGCATTCCCTAGTCTAGACATCTTCTAGAAATATATAAAATAATCATACCTTCTTTGAGTAACCTATCTCAGAATAAGTAAAAAGAACGAAAAACAAAAGGGATTTGATTTTTCTTTCTTGTGAAGTTTGTCAGTGTGGTTTATCAAAGAGCCAGGGATGGATACATAGTACAATAAATTATGATCTGCTGTAGGAAGTAATTTTGTCCTATCACTTTTCCCTTATTTTGTCACCTGAATATTTTCCCTCAGATTGTAAACAGATAATACCATCTTGATATTATGTGTTTGGATTGATTTGGATAATGTGTTTGGGATGTGTTTGGGTTGATAAAAACAAAATGTGCTGAAAGTTTATGAATATTAAACCAAACACTTTATTAGCTATTTTCTGATTGCAATTCAGATTGAAAAAACCAGAAGTGCTGAGCAACACTTTTTTTTGTTTTGTTTTGATTTTTGGTTTCTCTTTACTAGCTAAGCAAGGCTCTCCCTAACAGAAGTGTGAGGTCTATCTACTTGTTTCAATACGTTTTTTATCAGCTATTTTATACTATTACAGACTGATGTTTTATCAGGTATCAGTTCTGGTTTTCTGCCACCTTTTGTATCTGTGCTGGAACACAAGCACTGTGTTCCTTGTTTCCAATTTTTAAATTTTCTGCACATTACCTATGTTTTGCATTTTTATTGTTGCTGGGTGCAACCTAATCTGTTTCAAACTTGTAAGGTTCGGTGAAATGCATTTGTTATGGGGAAGGCTGAGCATGAAAGGGAGCAGGGGGAACTGGAGCAGAAGTGCTTTATAGCCACTTCAGTGGAGAAGATGATTCCTACTGTGTCAGATGCTTGTGTACCCAGAGAAGGGGAACCTTCTTTATTCTAACAAAAAGGATAGATAGCTAAACTGTCTATGAGAGAGAGAGTCCAAGCTGAAAAACTAAGCCCATCTAGATCGCCTGGAATTACTGAAATGGAAGGTAGCTGTAGTCTGCTGAAAGAAGAGAAAAACTTACATCTTTTTACAACAGAAACACCAAGTGAACTGAATGAGAGAAAAAGATTTTTCAATTGTGATCTTACTGTATAAGATACACTTTTTCTTTCTTTTTTTTTTTTTTACATGTGCATTTTATGAACATCTGTAGCTGTGTTGTCTAGTTGGATGTTACAGATAATGCTTGTAGAAACATCATTTAAACTAATTGGATAATGATAAAACCCTTTGGTTTTTTTCCCCCAGGGGCATAACTAAACTGTGGGCAGGGTATGGGAACATGATAACAATTCTCTGTGCACTCTCTTGAAATGGCTCCTGGTCTTTGTTCCAAAGGGCAGGTGCAGCATCAGCATCACAGCACTGGATCACAGAGAGCTCCAAGTGACTGCTGGTGACACTGAAAGCTGTGTGGCACTGATAGTGGGGTGCAGACTGGACCCTGGTTACAGAGAGTGCCCTAAGCATAAATGTACAAATACTGTAAAGATCACCCTGCAACTAGAACTGTATTGATTATAAAAATGTTTAGAAGTTATTTATGGGAATAATACAGATAATATAAAAACAGTTACATGATTACTAACAAGAAGCTCGGTGTATTCAGATTTACTTTAATTGCATTGCTATATTTTTTTAATTAATAAAAAATGTATATATTTTTTATTAATTAAATAAAATAAAATCAATAAATTAAAATTAAAAAAAAATTAAATCAATAAATCTTGATTCTTTTTCTGTTGAAATAAAATTTAGTGTTCTCACAAAGAATCCCCCAAACTACAGCTACTTAGGATTAGTAATTATTATCAAACATTTAGTTTGGGTTTATGTATATTTCTAATAAATCTTGATTATTTTTCTGTTGAAATAAAATCTAGTGTTCTCACAAAGAATCCCCCAAACTACAGCTACTTAGGATTAGTAATTATTATCAAACATTTAGTTTGGGTTTGCTTTGTTGTACTCTTCAGTACGATACATTTTTCTACACATAAACATTTATTTTTATGAAAACAATTTCTTAGTTTTAAATATTGGATTCCAGATTCTCTGCTCACCACATCATAACATGTTCTGATTGTTTTACATGCATTCTTGCTGCTGCTGTCCAGCTCACCTTCCCTGCAGCTTTCCCTGCTATGTAACATAGGTGTTTCCAGTGATTTTGATACCCTTTCAGCCTGGGCTGTATATGTTGAGGGGTCTCTTTATTCTTCAAGTTGTCTAGCAAGCTGAACCCAATTTCTTCTCTGTCAGATGCTTCAAGCATCAATACGAAAAGCTGATATTGCATGGTTCAATAAAAGTCCTTATACCAAATCACTATGGAAACATCTCAGATAATTTTTTTTTGTATTTTTAAAATAAGGAAACCTCAGAAGCTCTTGCAAGCATATTTAGGAGCAGATTTTATTAGTTCCATTTCATGAGTAGTTCATTGATTTAATTGGCTTATTTAACCAAGTATGATTCTTTCTGACATGAACACACTTCAGACTATCTGGCTCTGTCTCTGGATTCATAGAGTTTAAGAAGGGAATAGTTCTGTTGTCTGCTCCTCTACTGTGGATCAAGAAAAATTCCATTCCAGGAATGGCTTTAGAATGAGGTCAGCCTCAAAGAGGACTCTTTTTATTTCGCAAGTGGATTTGTATTATTTTTTAAATTTCATTTTACAAACTATTATGTTTGTGATCCAGTAGATGAGACACATGGTTGGTAACAGGTCATGCCACTGTGAGATTTACTCTAATAATGCTTGGAAAATTGGTGCCAATGGAAAAGATTTCACCTGTGATTTCGTACTTCTGATGAAAGGTTAATTTAATGTTTTGCTTATGATTCACAACAGGTGGCCCAGGAAGTGGTAAAGGGACACAGAGTCTGAAAATAGCAGAACGTTATGGATTTAACTACATATCTGTTGGTGAATTGTTAAGGAAGAAAATCCACAGCACAAGTAGCAATAGAAAATGGAGCCTAATTGCCAAAATAATTACTACTGGAGAACTGGCCCCTCAGGTACACTTTCCTATGTTCATATTTACTTTCAAGGGTTTATACATCTTGTAGTGATGTGCACCATCAAGAAAACTTCCTTTATGATATTAAATAACTAACTTATTTTCTCTGTGAAAGGAAACAACCATAACTGAGATAAAGCAGAGATTAATGCAGATCCCTGATGAAGAGGGGATAGTGATTGATGGATTTCCCAGAGATGTTGCCCAGGCAATCTCCTTTGAGGACCAAGTAAGAGATTGTTTTTACTCTTAAAATAACTTATACATATCTACAACAGTTAAGCTTGTTGAAATAATCAGTCAGATTCCAAGAAAAAGCATTGCTCTTGAATCTTTGCAAGTACATAATTACAGGTTGATAAAAGATTTATGTTATATTATGTCCTGTTGTCTGAAGACAGACTATTTTGTAAAAAGACAATGTGATAATATAACCAAGAATCCAAACCTTTTGTCTCGTAATGAAAGTCCTCTCAGGATGAAGAAAAACAGTGAATATTTTCTGTGTCTTAATGATTCAGAAAGTGGAAAATATTATATTTCCTTTTCTATTTGTTCAACATAATCTCCATTAAGAGAAACATACCTGAAGCAATGTATGTCTTCACAGTGCTTTTACTGTCAAGTTTGTTACAGGGCATTGAAAAGATGAATTAAAAAAAGGTTAAAACTAGCCATGCTTTGCAAGTTTCTGTAAATCAGAAAGCTTTTTTTTTTTTAAGAAAATATGGTAGTTGTGGTTATTCTAAACTACGGTTCCAAGGTTTAGCCAGCTAAAACTGTATTCCTGAGTACTATTGACATGTTGTTTTCATGTGTATATTTTAAACTAATCTAAAAATATTTTAATTCAGTGGAAAAACAAACAACTGATGTCATTTTCTGATCAAGCGCTGCTAACATAACAGTTATGTTCACAAGAAGAAGTTGCAGTTTCAGAGCTAAATTCTTAGAGTGCCTACATGCAGAATGTTTCAGTCTTTCACAACTGCTGGTCTACTGCTGTTTCTGTACTTAGAATTCTTAGTGGCATTACCAAGGCAGAAGTAACAAAACAAAGCAGCTAATGAGGCATTTCATTAGTGTGCTTTATAAGGTATTATTCTGGGCAAAAATTAGAAAACTGAATTGAGGAAATTAAAGGAAACAGACAAAATAGTTATTACAGGAAATAGCAGTAACTGCCAGCTCTATCTTCTTATAATTAACAGAAGAGAAGATTGACTATTTTAGAAGTTAAACAGCAGAAATGTAGACTTAATGATCATTTCCTTGTGTCATGTTTTTGTCCAGTGTGATAGTGTTAAGAGCATTTCTTAGTGGCATAATTTTGTGCTGATGTTGTTTTTGATGAAAGAATGGGGGATATGAAACGGGAGGAAGTGACAGGAATTAAGTTATCCTAGGCTCAGATTAAGGAAAGGAAAGCCAGTTAAATAACACTTGATTATAGTCACAGAGAGTTCTTGCATTCTCAGTCAATTGGGATTTGTAAATCAGACTCCTTAAGGCCTGATTCTACCTGAAAGATAAACCACTAAGTCTTTTAAAAAAGTCCAGGAGCACTTCATATAGGGACACCTTTCAATCTTACCTGTTCTAAAAAATACAGAAAAGAAGGATTTCCAGGCCTTTCATAGGAGCATAGGCTGTCTGTTCAGACTCCTCCATTTCCATATTTCTTTGCAGCTGACCTGTAATATGAACATATCTGAGGCCATGGAAGTAAATGTACAAAAGCTATACATATTTCAACATTCAATCTCATATCAACATCTCCAGTGAGATATATTCAGTGCTTTATTTTGGATTTATATTTTAAATAAATAAAATATACTTGTTGTTTCTTTAAAATTCTCTGTTTAGTAAGCCCTGATGCTACTCACCTTGGTAGGAAGGTTTTGTGTTAAGGAAAAGGGACTATCAGCAGTCATGGTCATCATTCACAGGCTCACAGTCACCCATGGCATGTCAGGTAATTTACATAAAGCATGCAAAAATTTTCCAGGCACTCAGAGATTCCTCAATAGGAAGTGCAATTGAGTTGTGGAGAATTCAGTAATAGCTGTTGTGATTATTTGTCTAGGTCTGCAATTAGAGATAGTAAGGGGTTTTCCACAGCTGAGAAATGTTACAGCTTTCTTTCTAGCACTGTGAAGAAGAGACTGGTTCTCATTAGCCAAAAGTGACAAAGTGAGAAATAATTAGTTGAAATTTCAGCATAGAAAGTTTTGATTAACTAGTAAGACAATTTTAATTAGATCTACTAAGCAATGGAACATCCTTTGAAGAAAATGGTGAAGTCCCACAAAATACAAATTGTTCACGTGCCATATTCTTACAAAGACATTCCCTGTAGAACACTGAGATCTGTTGATAAGAAGTTTTGAAAAATAATTAATTCCTACTGTTATCGCTGGCTTTGTCATGAGCAAATACTTATTCCTACAGATGGTGCCTTTGAGACCATTGCATGCTTATGTGTCTGAAAACAGCAGAAAAATGTATCTGACACACATGAATTCTTTACCATTGTTTACACAAACACAATCTCCAAGAATATAGGTAGTAATACCAAAAATTAATTATAGGGAGTAGCACAAAATGAAAAGGACAACTGAGATGCCTGGTTTCTCTTGAAAGCACATGTAAAATCTAACTGTGCTGTGTTTGCAGTTAATGTAACAAATAGTGTATGCTAAATTATTTCCTTCAGTCTTATTGATCACAGAGCTGTTACTAAAACTTGATATTGGATTTTCATAATCTCTTCATCTTGTGGAAAAATCAAATGGATACATGTATGTCTGAGCTGTACAGGACCTGTCCTGCATAACATTCTGTTATAGAAATATATCATGACAACAACTGCTTGTTAAACTTTGCTTGCAATTGCTCTTGGTACTACCAGCACATTTTTATCCCTTTGACTAATCCAGTAGCTGAACTTTTCTCTGGGAAGAAAAAGTTATTTTTAGTAAACTAGTCAAAGCAAACCAACTTATGCTAACATTCCCATACATAGGTATGGCTAAAAGATGATGATTTCTTCCTTATTATGTTGCCAGACTCTCATGTGGACAGTAAGTTCTCAACATGTTGCTAGGCAGAATTGTATTAAAACACGTTGCATCTCAGTGACTAAAGTGCCTAAAATAAAGCAATGTATCATTTGCAGCACACACAGTATTTCTCTTCCTGCTCAGATCTAGAAACCAGAAGTAACAAACACTGCTGCCATGCAGTAATGTCAGTCTGGAATAAGTGCATTACAAAGCACTTTACACATCACAGGAATTTTATATTTCAATTTAAGCTTTTCTCCCCTTCTCTTCTGTTGAGTTTTCATAATAACACTGTTCCTGTCATCCATGTTTTTTGAGCAGCAAAGAAGTTTTTAAGATAGCATCAGTGATGTTTTCAGAGTTTCAGCAGTGCTCACCAGCCAGCAGGACATTGGCCATTCTGGTCACTCACACCAGCTGCATCTCTTAATGCTCAGCTACTCATTGCAGCCTTCCTGCAGCCTGGAAGAACTCAGCCATGAGCACTGCAGTATTCTTTGAGTTTATCTCAGTTTTCTTTGAACTTTTTAACCAAGTTGAAGTAAGTCCTGTATTTTTCTCTTTGAAAACTGAGTTTAATAAGTAAATTCCTCTTATTGGAAGTCTGGGATTGTTGCCAAGTCCTGACCCTCTCATTTCTTATTTCCAGAGAGCAGAGTCAATACTGCCAATACTTTTGATGGCAGTACTTTTAACAAAGCTATGAAGTTCCAAGCAGTCACAGTTGTAGGGAGAAAATGAAAACATGAATTTTAATGTCTTAAAATCAAGCAGGACTTCCATTTTATATATTCCTTTTAAATATGTGATAATTTCTATATTTTTCTCAGTTTGAACTTTTTCTGCATAGCAGTGCAGATTTAATACTGATGTATTTAGACTTTCAGTTTGAGCCTAAGCATAAAGCTGTCCTAAACCACAAATTTCATGGGTATCCATGATCTCTGCTGAGTGCAAATAGCAGAAAGGTGTTTAGGTTTCAAGGACACATTTGAAAATGCCAAGGAGAAAATGGTTTATTTACCATTAACCTGTCATCTTGAAATTCAGCAAGTCACCTGCAGTCCCAGCATGCTGAAGCATGTTAAATATCTTCCTGTCCTGCAATGCTGCAATAAAATGCTTCTGACTGGTGTATTGAACTCCAATGCCTTGTGAAAAAATTGCAGTTTGTCTTTCTGTGTAATCTCTCATATGGTTTTTATCCTTCCCGAGAGAAACAATTAACTGTATTTTTCAGTTAATTTCAATTACTGCTTTGGTTTATTTTTTTCCATCACTTCCACTCATTCATGTGATGGAAATGAAAGAAGAAATACTTCTTTGTTAGTATCAATAGAGTAAGTATAGATGTAGTTTGCTTAAAATATACTCACTGTAATTTTTTTAATAGTAAAATAAATGTAGAATAGGTATTAGAATCAATGGATGTTCATTAATGAATGTAATTTAATTGGTGATAAAAGAGGACATTTATTTTTGTAGAGATTATTTAAAAAATGTTTTATATGTCTTATATGGCCTGGGTGACAAGACTATGTTTGAGTAAAATCTTAATTTAAATAATAAACAGAGGCAATCAATTTTATCTGATTCTTTGTTTAAAAAGCTCTTAGGAATATTCATAAATGCATATCCCTCCAGTAAATAACTACTCATCTTGGCTGTAATTTGAGTTAAATTTTAACTCTCAGGTATATTCCTTAGGAAAATTATTAAGAGAATAATTGTGATAAAGTAGAACTAACTGTGTAGGTAGCACAGTATATAGGATGGTGAGAAATGCCTGGGTGCTTTCAGAGGCTGAGGAGAGCAGTCCTGTTCCTCCAAGGCTGATCCTTAGACCTCCAGGCAGAAGCGATGCCTGCAGTGCCCTCCGGGTTTGACACAGGTGTTTGTGGCAGCTGCCTGAGGGTCTGACTGCCAAGCTCCAGCTCTGCAAAGAGCTTCTCACAGAAAAGCTGCTGTCCTGGCCAAGAGTGTGGCCTCCAGAGCAGCCAGGGAGGTGGATGCAACCTTGTTGTGAACCTTCTTAAGGGAAAAGTACCTGTTTTTTGCAATAGGTTATTGCTCTGGTAAAGATATTTTTTTCTGTATAATGGCAAATATGTCTTCTTTATTTCTATTCCCCTAAACATCTCTCTCCCTTCTCCCTGATCTGACC